ACATCCTATGTGACATCAGTGCATAATATATCGTCGACTGCAGCCTTCCTACCTCCCATGTTATTTGCCCTTCACACTTCTCGGTACAGTTGCAAATGATCAAATCAAGTATTTCACACATATCCGTGATCATTTTGCCTGTCGGGTCGGTATACCCATCTATATCTTCTATGTGCGCATTCATGTCTCCTAGTATAATTATCTCGCACTCTCTTCCTAACTCCTGAATGTCCTTTGATATACACTCTACTATTGCCTGGTTTTCCTCTCTGGCCTTTGCTCCCGTCCACAAGTACACGAAACCAAGGAGTGTCATTTGACCTGCCACTTTCCCTTTTAGCCATAAATGTTCCTTGCACTCCTGCTTGACCCTTTGCCAGTCTGTACTTTTATGAATGAATGCCCCAATACCACCCCCCTTTCTGCTGTACTGTTGGTAGAGTGGTAGCGCCGGCGGTGGCCCCTGGCGGAAGGCAGGCCTTGGTGGTGGGTGAGGTTCGAGCGAGCCTCTTCTGCGCGTGGCGGCTGCCGCGAACGGTTGTCTGTAGCGTGGGTCCCCGGTGCTCGGCACCGCGGGCTTCGCGCCGGGGTCCCACGTGGAAAGTCAGGCGTTGGCGACGCCGCCTTGGGTATATGTTAGTGTGTTGGGTGTGTTAGTGTGTGTTTATCATGTTATTGTGTGTTTAGTGTGTCACTGCGTTATGTTGTTTGTATGGTAGCGTGTTAATTGAAATTTGTGTATCATTCGGCGCACGATATCGTCATCTAAATTAGTTAATAAATCTATGTATGTTGTGTGCTTTGTACCGACCGCGACTACTGTGTCCTTTCACTCCAAGAGCGTGGCGTGGCGATGCACGCGTTCGCCTCGCCGAGATCCCACACTGGCTGCCGAACGTGGAGCTCTTGGAGTATTGGACGACCGTTTTTGCGGTTCAATACAGGAATTTTGTTAGATTCGGAGTAGAATAGGCCTAGGGGGGACTTCTTTGCTACCGTCGGTGGTGTGCTTTGTTGAGAAGCGAGGAGATTGGTTTTGTAACGTGTTTGAATTTGTCGGCACGTTGACTTTCTATTTATTTTTTTGCTCACAAGTGTTGTTATTTTTTGTTGTTAGTTTTCAAAAACGTTGTTGAATTAGGACGAGAGCCATGCGGTCCGCATCCTGGGGTGAGCAAAGCCTAGAGCACGTGGTTTGTAGGCCAGGCCCGAAGCGAGTGAGTACGGAAGCCTCGTGGGTAATCCGATTTTCTGTAAATAGCTTCTTCTATACCTTTGGGCTCAGGGAGCCGGGCGTTGTTGCTGTCTGGTATTGCGGCTCGACGCCGAGGCGTCGTGACACCGCCCGGGGTGGTGGACGCCGATCGCTTGGTAAGCTGCTGTGTGCGGCGAGCGATAGGGCCACCTCACAGAGTGGACGTCTCCTCGCGGCTGCCTCTTCTGCGCCTAGGCTGGGTGCTGGGTGGATGCCGGTTGTTGCCGAGCGACTCATTAGTCCTAAGGTTCTGCGCAGCCGCCTGTCGCACGTGGCTCAACTAGGTGGATCGTGGCGTTGAGGTGTGTCGCTCTACTTCCCTCACTTTTTTTTTCTTGTGAGCACGAGTTAGGAAAAGATATTTTTGTTTTCTTTTGATGGGCGTCTCGGCCACCACCGATGTATTAGCTAGCAGTACTGACCAACGTACCACGTGGACGAAAAGCTCAAAGCTCCCTTCCCAAGGACCTGCTCGATTGTTTTCTTTCAAGTTTTTTTGTTGTTGTTATTGATGTATTCGGCGGGAGGGATGTCATCCACGGCCGGCTGTCCTGCACATCGTCAGTGTCACTGGCCAGGAATGCGGTCGGTAGGTCGGGCGATGGAGATGCCTGGGACCTGCGCAACTGCCTGCAGTCCGGCGCCCTCGCGAGTGCTGGTCACAACTGGAAAACGTGTCGGCGCTAGCGACGGATCGTCGCGCCGACGGCAACGTTGCTGTTGCGGGGCCGGTACTGAGGTGAAGTCTAGCCGGACAGTGCAGCAGTGTCGACCGGCGGTGGTGTCGTTGTGCAAGGACATTATGGTCGTGCGATATCATTTTTTTGTTAAAGCTTGTGTAGCTAATTTTTTATTTCGGGATATGGTTTGATTTAAGGTTGGGGGAATGTGGGGGTGCTGACAGCCCCCCTGTAAAGTTGTCTGTGCCGCGTGGCGCACGTGTCTCGCCCCAAGGCTTGATTTCGGTGGTGACCACCACCGGGCGATAGATGGCGTTGTGTTCGCTTTGAGTACCACTGTTGGTAGAGTGGTAGCGCCGGCGGTGGCCCCTGGCGGAAGGCAGGCCTTGGTGGTGGGCGAGGTTCGAGCGAGCCTCTTCTGCGCGTGGCGGCTGCCGCGAACGGTTGTCTGTAGCGTGGGTCCCCGGTGCTCGGCACCGCGGGCTTCGCGCCGGGGTCCCACGTGGAAAGTCAGGCGTTGGCGACGCCGCCTTGGGTATATGTTAGTGTGTTGGGTGTGTTAGTGTGTGTTTATCATGTTATTCTGTGTTTAGTGTGTCACTGAGTTATGTTGTTTGTATGGTAGCGAGTTAATTGAAATTTGTGTATCATTCGGCGCACGATATCGTCGTCTAAATTAGTTAATAAATCTATGTATGTTGTGTGCTTTGTACCGACCGGGACTACTGTGTCCTTTCACTCCAAGAGCGTGGCGTGGCGATGCACGCGTTCGCCTCGCCGAGACCCCACAGTTTTAATATAACTATAAAAACGAAGGGTCACAAGCATAATTTTGTCATTTTACGGCTAACGAGCGGCACGTGGTGCCTGCTGCCACAGCGATGCGCAGTGTTGCTTCTGTAAAGCATTCATTGCCCGCTGGTTTTAGTGGCCACCCAAAGCGGCGCGTTTCTCCACGATTGCTTGTTTGGAGGCGAAACAAGCATCGCGTTGGGTTCTTTCGTCATTTTTTTTTTCAGTCGAGCGCCACGGCATGTATTTGTGCTGACCTGGTTCACGAGGTGACGCGATTTTCACGGTATTTGCCTTTCGGTTCGCCTGCATGCCTGTAGTGGGCTAGGTTGCAGTTATATATGAAAAAAAAACAAGTTCTGGGAAGAAATGTGATTCGTATCCTTTTGTTGATCTTCGTAAACAAGATAAAAAGCGGAGGTATAGACATCGCCCTCAGCAGAATTCTGTCTAGCGGGGTGCAGCAGTGTCTCGCTGCATGATGGTGAAGCGGATAAAAAACTCGTGGTAGGGGCACCTCTTTTTTATGTGTGTAGAATTCTACGTAGCGTTGTGCTACAAGCGATGCTTTTGGGCGAGAAACAGCGCCCTAGACGGGACGAAAGGATAGACGAGGCACACAGGCACAACACCGAGTCAATTTTGTACCGAAAGAGTCGGAAATCGTCATCGTGTTTAAAAAAAAACAGAAATGGCATTTGCGCTTACGGAACACTTCGGTGTCGTCCCCACCGAAGCAATTATTACGCACGTGTGTGTAGTCGACACAGCTTGTAACACCAGGGAGCTCAGCCACTTCATAAAAGTCCCGCATAACTATAGAAAGTGCTGCCGGGGTCGGAAAGCGCACCAGCATTGCTTACAGGTGCTTTGCGATGAGTAGCGTAACCTTTCCTACTGCATGGCAAACTGTCGACTACGGAGTGCGGACGAGATTGCCGGTGACTGTTTGGAATGTGCCAGCGCCGTAAAACCCGAGAGCCATCAGTAGCTGTAACACTAGGGGCACAGGCTGTCCTCGGTTGTCCCCACTTTCACAGAGCGGAAACATACCCAGCAGCTGCCGCACGTCGTTCTTCGTGAATCTGCATCGAGCGTGGAATTGTTCCTCGTCGTACAACTACATCGGATTCCTTTGGTCACGTAAAGCCGGTCCAAGATTCTTGGGCAGGCAGTGCGCCTCGGAAAATGCTACGCTTATGGCGAGGCAAGCTAACTCAAAAGCGGCCACCCTCTCCGCGACGTCCATTCGAGAGGTGGCCATGTTGGAATAACGCGTGAAGTCGCTTTCAAGCTAGCCCCGCAGCTGACTTGAAACTTGTCCTGACTTCGACCGAGCCAAGTCGCCTTCAAGTCATCCGCAAGTTCGAGAACGATTTATGGTGACCGGCAAGATAAGACTGTCTTGGGTCAAGAACGAGTCAAGTACGAGTCAACTAACATCTCTGCATTCGGGGGTTTATGGTGTCCGGCAAGACTGTCTTGAGTCAAGAACGAGTCAAGTAACATCTCTGCATTCGGGGGTTAGAGATATTACTGTATATGCTACCTTTAGGTAGCCTCGGATGCGCTCGTTCGCCTCCACTGCACGCTCGAGGCACTCCAACGCAGCGCCCCCAGAATAACGTCCACTGATTTTCTTGCGCAGAGCATCAAATAAACGTTTTTTTTTCACTCTCCAGACGCAAGACTATCGTCTTTCGATGACATTTGCAGTGCAACGTGCAGATTTGGGCCAATTTTTTTCCATTCCATTCTATTCACGTGCACACACACAAAAACCTGCACGAACACTCATAAAGTAAAGCCCCCCCCCCCCCCCCCCCGCGAGGAAAACATCTGGCTACTCTCTTGATCTGATTACCATTTATGAGAATGTGATGTAGTTTAACGGCATGCTATTCAGTGTACACGCTGCTGTATTGATGCGTCTGGATGCGCATTGCATGTAGATTGCAGATTTGCAGTACCGACCTCAGTCTGTCGTTATCAGCATTCTCTTTCTGTGCGTTGTCTCGCTTTCCAAACATTTTCACGTGGTGAAATTGACGTATTCACTCTTTGAAATTGTAATTTACTGATACGAGAATTGTTTTTCTCTTAAGTGTTCCTTACCTGCGGATGACCACTAACAAAATAATGTTTAGAAATGTTGTATTGGAGAGCTCGGGATCTCCATTTTAGACGAATATAATATTTGAAGGTAGCCTTTATTGAACCAATTACACATATATAACAAAGAAACGTTTAGTTAACGCTAAAAAAAAGGAAGCAGCCGCCAGTGAGGATCGAACTCACGACCGCTGGTTTACAAGACCAGCGCTTTGCCACTGAGCTAAAGCGGCCACGGGGACGGCGCGTCGCTTATCGCCGGAGTCATCGCCGCTGTTCTATATCTCTTTTTATTGCGATATCAATTATATGGTCAGTCTCGGCTGGAGCTGGATTTTGCCGTCAGCACTGCCGCCACCATCATGCACTGTATATGTATACGAACCTATATATATCAAAACTTAAGAAAGAAGAAAAGCCGGCTGCGATCGGCACCCAGCTCGTCGCGATGCGCCGACCCGCGCTTATCTCCCACGCGTACTTTGCCCCACGGGTGGGGGCGGAGGGGTTCAGTGCTAGCGCGCACGCGCTTATCCTTCGCTAGAGAGAATCGTGTGCCTTGACCTTTAGCCGGAACGATTGCCTGGGCCGCAAAGGTGACTTCGCTCACTCGGCACGCCCCGTTTGCGAAAAGAGCGCGCTTTTCAAACACAACGAAGTAACAACTGTGACACTCGTTAGTTCGCGCTCATATCTGTACCTGTGATTACGTTTGGTGCGCCGTTTCTTGTTTAACTCTTTCGTTACCATGCCTAATCAAATCGATCACGGTCATCGACGCTTTAGATAATCGATTTTATCATGCTAAATTTGTTTCTCGGGCATTCAGCACTTTCTAGTAGTTAGTCTATCTAGCCACTCAACATTCAGAATCAATTTGAATTTGCCCGTTTTGGCAACATGGTAATTTTTACCAGACCTTTGCCCGAACCAATGTGCGTGTATTGTTGGAAAAGTGCACTAGACCGGCGAACTTGACAAAAGTGCGTGCCTCTCGAGATTATACTGCAGTAACATCGAAGTTATGTTATGAAAAGCCTTTGCAGACAAAACATCGAATTAAGGTGTCAGCTTAGCTATTTAATAATGTTTATCAGTAATAATTGGCAGAAATTTATGCCAGCTATTCAATTAGACAACTGTTGCTAGGAGTCAGGAAAAATTTATTCTACAAAAATATTTGTGGTGGTCCACCACATGTTTAAAGTGTCGAGATGGCCTTCTCAGCCAGTTTCTAGCAGCTTTGGTTTTGCTCTTATTGCTATATTAGGCACAGAGTTGCATCTAGCGTGCCCCGCCACGGTGGTCTAGTGGCTAAGGTACTCGGCTGCTGACCCGCAGGTCGCGGGCTCAAATCCCGGCTGCGGCGGCTGCATTTCCGATGGAGGCGGAAATGTTGTAGGCCCGTGTGCTCAGATTTGGGTGCACGTTAAAGAACCCCATGTGGTCTTAATTTCCGGAGCCCTCCACTACGGCGTCTCTCATAATCATATGGTGGTTTTGGGACGTTAAACCCCACAAATCAATCAATCAATCAATCAATTGCATCTAGTGTCACTAGTCGCGCCTTTGGCGCAGTCGTCACGCGCGCATAGGTGCGCACCAGCGCCGCAAAATACATGCGCCACTTGGAACCGTCTTGCAACCACACCTGAATTGAGCGAGGACGAGCTTAAGGTTCGAGGCTCACAGCACCTCAAGTTCAAGCTCTGTGAAGACGATGTTTTGCGTCAGCCTGAGACATCCATAGCCATCAATGGGCCGTGTTTAGTTCACGGCCCAAAGTTGTCTTCTCCGCCGCAAATGCGTAGCTGCCGATATATTCGTGTGTTACACTGCTAACCGAATTCGTACATGACATCGCTTCATCATTCGACCAGGGCATTCAATTGGAGGCTGTATTTTTGGGACTTCAAAAAAGCTTATGATGTCGCCCCCTACAGTCTTTTGCTTCATAAGTTGTCGTTTCTTGGTATTCCTAAACCCTCATAGACTGGATTAAGGATTATCTCAGCGGCCGCAAGCAATGTGTTGTGATAAATGGTGTGTCTTCATCAACAGCTGATGTACTGTCAGGGGTGCCACAAGGATCGGTCCTGGAGCCGCTTCTGTTTTTGATTTTTATCAATGATTTTCCACTGGGTTTGAAATCAACAGTGAGGCTTTATGCTGATGATTGTCTTTTGTATTGCCCAGTCAAGTGTTTTGATGACACCACACTACTTCAGTCTGACCTCGATAAAATTGTGTCTTGGTGTGCTCAGTGGCAAATGAGTTTGAACCTAACTAAATGTTTTCATGTGCAATTTAATAACAAAAAAGGTAGTATCGAGGTCTTATTACTTAAATTCCTGCGCAGTACAAAAGGTAGATCAAGTTAAGTATCTCGGAGTAACATTCACGGCAACACTAGATTGGACCAGTCACGTAGATCTAATCACAGCCAAGGCTTCGCGCTTAATTCATTTTTTCCAAAGAAATTTCAGCGACGCGCCGCAAACACTCAAGGAAACCCTGTATATCACAAATGTGCGCCCAATTTTAGAGTATGCTTGTGTTTCTTGGTACCCTTTCACGAATGTACTGAAAGAAAAGTTGGAGAGGGTGCAAAAAAGGGCTGCTAGGTTTGTTACAGGAAACTACGATTTTAGAATAAGGTCTTCTGGAATTCTTCAGGCCTTGGGATGGGAACCCCTTTGTGGACGACGGAAAGTTCAAAGACTTAAATTTCTCTATAATATATATCACGGTAAGACTGGGCTAAATAAAGAGCGGTATTTAAAGACGCCTAGTTATATGTCCGAACGGAAAGATCACTTATATAAAATTAGAGAATATACCTGTCGATTGAATGTCCTTAAATACTCTTTCTTTCCAAATTCTATTAGTGACTGGAATGCGCTAAAAATACCAATATTCTCTGATTCTAATTTTCTAACAGCCATTGAAACATCATTTTGAGCTCCTGAAATAACCCATATATTTAACGTTGCCTTTGTACTTCTCTTGGTTGTTGATTTTTTATATGTATAATTACTGCTTTCGTTGTATAATGCTGTGTTTCGTACTTTTGTTCTAATGCTGTACTACAAGTGTTGATTCCTTCTGTATACTGTAATGCACGATTTATTTGCTTTTAATTTTGCTGTTTTGTATTCTATTTTCTACTGTAACCCCCCTCCAACAATGCCCAATGGGCGATGTAGGTACTTGTAATAAATAATAAATAAATAAATAAATAAATAAATAAATAAATAAATAAATAAATAGTTTGTGCGCAATCTTATAGCTAGTCTGGTTACGTGTGAGGTCCACACTTCCCTGGGGTGCGGTGTGCTGGCGCCGGCTGTAGAGCTTCTCCTAACGGCAAGAAGGTTTCCAAAGCACATCCTGGCTCTAACTACAGAGCAGCGCCATAAGTTTTAGAACTTCGTGCGATATCGTTCTTTTTGTATTACGATGTGCAAAATGCTAAGAAATACGCTTGGACGCTTATATAGGAATGCCAACCTAAGCGGTGTGAGGTGGCTCATAGAAAGAGGTGACGCTAGGCGAATAACGAAGTTCAATAGACATCTGATTTATAGAGGGATTGTTCACATCACGGACATCCATCTATATTGGAACAGCTGGAGGCTCTTATACCAAGAAAACAAAATTTACCGGGAAATGTGAAGGAGTTCACATGTGTCTCACGAAAAACCAGGCAATGCTCCACTGCTTGGCTTGAGCAACGAAGCAGCACCTCAGTTCTGATTTTCTTTGTCTATGTGCAGAAACCTCTTGTTCAATGTTTCTTATTTTTATCTGTTCCTGGCTCATTTGTCTTCAAAATGTATATTTGAAATTTTCTTTGTTTTGAATATTTTTGCACATATAGTGTTTTCTATTGCTCTGTTTACCTATTAGCAGCAAAAAAATAAGCACTTTTCACATTTTTATTCATTTGAAACTGCTTTTGTTGCTCTATAGCATATATTTTTTGAAAAGAGCTTATAATTTCGCAATATTTGGTATGCTGCAATGCGTGATGGAATGCTTTTCGAACTGAAAAAAAAAACGATGTTCCCGAGACATATGAAAAATAACCATTTTCACGCGGTAACGAGAGAGTTAAACATGCGCGTCAAGCGTCGACCAGAAAACGCTGCTAGTTAGCTCTCGTCCTGTGTGGGTTGTTTTCGTGCGCCATTTGTACGCGAACAGCGCACTGCACGTTTCGATTTACTAGCCAATCTCAGCGTTACATTACAAGTTGTTGCTATCGCATTCATTGCTGTGTCACCCTTGAGGCGCGAAACTGTGACATTTTTTCCCTCTTCGTATTATCCTACGACGACATTTCATCGAGTGTTCCGATGCACACGTCGCCTCTGAAAATGTCACGTGGACAGCTGCATGGCAGTTTGCCGCCACAAAAAAGGGTGCTATTGTATTTTAAGAGCAGCCAGAAAGCGCGCGAATTTTTAACCGCTCTTATGCTGCACCTCATACGAAGTATGTACGCGTTAGTTATAAAATTATATATTTTATTTATTTACGTAAGTGCCTTGCGTGTAGGCAGCAAATAATCCTTGGAAGGAATTAAGTATGGTGGGTGGCGTTGGGTCAGGCAGTGGTCTACACAATAATCAATCATTTAATAATGAAGCATTTATTTAACCTGCCCCGAAACAACCATGAGGTCTTAATGCCGGCGCACGCAAAAATAAAGCAACAAAAATAAACAATACACTGCAGACATTCTTCAGATAGAAAAATGAAATAGACAGAGCGAATATGCACAGACAAAGAAGGAGTCAAAGCAAAATGGCAAGAATAAAAGGACTATAGACGAGAATCATAGAATGGCCGTGAAAAATGTGGAATATATACTACTATGCGGCGGAAGGCTACCTGAAAGACAGAAAATAATTTTATAAACTTAATTGTACACACCCCTAAGAAATACAAGAAACGAGCCTCTCTAAGCCCCAAGGAATTGTGCGACTAAGCCCGACAGAGCCAATTACAGTGATGTGGATATAAAGCAACAAAAACTATTGTTGCTTATTTGCCAACAAACTGGCTAATGATCAACACCATTGGTTCTTTACAGGTAGTAAATAAAAAAGAACAACAAAGAAGGGACCCAGAGCGTACGTGACATACAAGTAGACCATTTGATTTTACAGCTCAGCGAGTAATTTCTTAATTTGCTTTTTTGAACTCGCTTAAAAATTGTTCTGGTAGT